AAGCGATGATCAAACCACAGACATGATGGTGGATGCATCTGGTCACTGCTCAAACCGGAAACCAGAAGCCATGCCGGTTGATAAACCAATAGCCGATGATGATGGGTGGACGGTAGTTCCATGTAGAAAAAACAAGGGCAAGAGAAATTAAACGGTTTTGGGTTCCCATGGTGTTTGTGTAATTTTTAACAGTTTTGGGTTTTGTTTATCTTTGTAATAGATAGTTTGATTTATAGATTGTCACTTTCTAAACAAAATCACAAGATTGAGCTATGGTTTCTCATATATTAATATGCAGTTAGATTCTCATTGAGTAGCCTTTGATAGAATGTTTATTTTAACAGTTTTCTCATCGGATGAAGAAAAGAAACACAAAACATACGAATAAATAGTCAATGAAGAGCCACCAATTTTATTTGTGCATCATCGAATGTGTAACTTTAATAGATTTATCAATGCCCTGCAATATTCAAACTCCAATCTTTGTACGAACATCCCTTACTTCGAACCAAATCATACGTCACCACTCATTCAACCGGCAAATTCTCTGCTTCATATCTAACAGAATCGAACAGTTTAGTTGATAAATAACGTTCTCCTCCACTTGGAAAAACCACCTGCAAACAAGATGATCACCGATCAATCCCGGTTTGATTTTGGTTTAAGTCAAAGCTTATGGCTAGTGAAAGGGACAAAGCTTACCACAATGAGTTTTCCTGCGTTTTCAGGCCGCTTTGCAACCTTTAACGCAGCTGCTGTTGCGGCTCCAGAGGATATTCCCACCTGCCAGATTATCACAACTTATCAGAAGCTCCGGATTTTCAATCTCTGGCTTTTAAAACGAATGTTAACCCAAATTTACCAGCAATCCTTCTTTGAGAGCAAGAAGCTTGGCTGTTTCAATAGCTTCCTCACCTGTCACCTGAATCAAAAGATTGCGTATCTCACTCAGAATAAATTGTTTTAACGATCGACAAGTAGATAATCTCGGCTACTTACTTGAATGATCTCATCAACAATGCTTAAATCCAAATTGGTTGGAATGATACCAGAGCCTATTCCTTGGATCAAATGTGGACCTACAAAGATAAAACCAAAGAGAACCAATATCATGAATCATGATTAGAGATCAATAACTGAGACAAGAATATCTATGTTGTTTGTTTCCTCACCTGATTCTCCTCCACTAAGTACCGGACTTTCTGCTGGTTCGACCACACAAACCTGTTGTTCAAGAATTATACCTTTTTTCTTACGGTTGAATTCAAGAACTAGTGTAGTTTTTTTTGTGTGTGTGTACCTTAATGTCTTTATTCTTCTCCTTGAGGAACTTCCCTACTCCAGTAGCCGTTCCACCAGTCCCAACACCAGCCACCAATATATCGACTTTCCCCGCTGAATCTCTCCATATCTCCGGACCCGTGGTTCTGTAATGAATCTGCAAGCAACATATTTGGGATTCAACCATAACACAAAGAGAGAAAAACAGAGAGATTCAAAGGATCTAGAAATGTGGTGGATGATGCATAAAGAGATCATTGTATAAATGAACCTCTGGGTTTGCAGGATTTTCAAACTGTTGTGGAATGTAACCACCAGGAGTTTTGCTTAATAAAGCTTCAGCTTTCTCCAACATTCCTTTAATGCCTATGGACATGTCCGTGAGATGAATCTCTGCACCTAATGCTCTCAGAATGATTCTTCTCTCTAAGCTCATCGTTGAGGGCATCAAAAGTACTACTTTATACCCTCTCGCTGCCCCGATGCACGCTAAACCGATCCCGGTGTTACCAGCCGTTGGCTCAATCAATGTACTCTTTTTAATCAGAAACCAAAACATTTTCTTAATGAAATATATATATATATATGGTTGGTTATAATAAATGTTGTTTCTTGTTATTAACCTTTCCAGGAGTAATGATTCCTTTCTCTTCTGCATCTTTGATCATGCTATAAGCGATTCTGTCTTTGACGCTAGAGCAAGGCTCCATCATCTCAAGCTTGGCGGCGATACGGGCCACGCAACCATCAACAATCTTGTTCAGATACACCATTGGTGTGTTACCGATCAACTACACCAACATATATCAAACGCTTTTATTTAGACATGTTCTTGTTTTTTTTCCAAGAAAGCAAATTGGTAGTGAAGAGATTAGAGATCTTTTTTACTTCAGTGACATCGTTCTTGATCAAGCACTGATCTTCCATGTTGGTATGTCTTTGAAACTCCTGCAGAATTGAATATTTGGGTAGTGAAAGACCAAAATGGAGTTACGGAGTCCAATATAATCAAAGAAGATGTGAAATCAATGAGATAAGAGACAAACCCTAGTATGAGATTCAGTGAAAACAATATAATTTGATACCAAAATCAGGAAATGGTCAGTGTTGTCTAAGCAAATTAGGTAGCACGAGCAGAGCACAAGTACATGATGTTTACATG